GGCGCGCCTCCTCGGCGAGCGCCGCGAGGAACGGCTCCGCCACCGAGGCCACGCAGTAGACGCGCTCGACCGACACGCACACCTGCCCGCCGTTGGCGTACGAGCCCAGCGCGACCTGCTCGGCCGCCCACACCGGGTCGACGCCCGCGTCGACGATCAGCGCGTCGTTGCCGCCGTTCTCCAGCAGCACCTTCGCCCCCGTCCCCGCCGCGGCCTGCCGGATGGCCCGGCCCGCGCCGATCGAGCCGACGTGGGCGACGACGTCGACGGCGTCGTGGCCGGACAGCAGGGCACCGGTGGGGCCCGCACCGTCGACGACGGCGAGCACGCCCTCCGGGAGCACCGACGCGAGGAGGTCGGCCACGCGGCGCCCGAGGTGCGGGCAGCGCTCGCTGGGCTTGTGCACGACGGTGTTCCCGGTGACCAGGGCCGCGCCGATCAGGCCCGCGGCCACCGCGACCGGGTCGTTCCACGGCGTGATGACGGCGACGACGCCACGCGGTCCCGGCACCATGAGGTCGGTCGCCGACCACGAGCCCTGCAGCGAGCGCCCGCGGTGCAGCGGGCCCAGTTCGGCGTACTGCTCGAGCGTGCCCGCCGCGGCCAGGACACCGCCGAGGCCGTCGTCGAACGGGCGTCCGGTCTCGGTCTCGTTGAGCGTGGCGAGCTCCTCGGCGACCGCGCGCAACGCGGTCGCGGCGTCGCGCACCCGGCCCGCCCGGTCGGCGGGGGACGTCCGCGCCCAGCCCGGTGCGGCCGCGACCGCGGCACCGACCGCGTCGTCGACCTCCTCCGGCCCCGCCGGGCGCACGCGGCCCACGAGCTCGCCGGTCGCCGGGTCGTGGATCGCGATGTCGGTCGCCTCGTCGGTCGTCGTGGTCATGGCCACCGGGTATCACGGCGGACTGCCGGGTACGCCTCCTCCTGATCGTCATCGGCGAACGAGGGAGCGTGCGAGGACATGGCCGGACGGCTGGACGGGACGACGGCGGTCGTCACCGGCGCGTCGAGCGGGATCGGCGAGGCGACGGCCCGCGCGCTCGCCGCCGAGGGCGCCCGCGTGGCGATCTGGGCGCGGCGGCGCGACCGCCTCGAGCAGCTCGCCAAGGAGATCGGCGACCTGGCCTCGGTGTACGAGGTCGACGTCACCGACCC